ATTTAAGGAAATGTCAGATTATAATAGATGCTTGAAGCTGCTTTTGCTAAAAAGCACTGACTCCTCCCTTGGAGCCACACACAACTAGAAAAAGTGTGGTATTTTTGCCTTCATTTTGAAAATTTCTTTCCTCAGGCATTTTACTGTCCAGTTTTTACAATGTTCTAGATCCCAAAAGGTACTTAAAAGTCTCTGTCATTGTCCTAAACTTGCAACAGCAGTAATTTAGTAACAACAGGAGTAATAAGCATCTTTATGAGAAGACTCCAGTGCAGTAGTTAAGTCTAAGGCAGTCCACCCCAGCAAATGACGGCAGTTATATACGATGGTGAGGTAACCTTGAACAGGAGGAATCATCTCGAAGGAATCGCATTGGTCCCCACAGCAATGACCACGATAACAACTTCATACTGGATCACCTGGGAGGCCTAGATCTGAGACAAGGATCTGAAAGAGAAAACCTGGACCAGAATTGCCTGTGCTATCTACTGTCCCCTGCCTCAATTCGTCCTTGTGCTCGATAGTTCTAGCTGTCAACTTGACACATCTGGGAAGAAGGAGCTACAGCTGAGGCACTGCCTTTATTGGTTTGGCCTGTGGCCATATCTGTGAAGCATTTTCTTATTGCTAATTGATGTGGGAGGCTCTAGCCCATTATAGGCTGGTGCCAACCTTGTGCCTATAGTCTCAGGTTGCATAAGAAAGCAGGCTGAGCACAGGACAGGAGAAGAGTAAACTGCTCTTCCAAGGTCTGTGCTTCAGTTCCTGTCTCCAGGCTCCTGCCTTGAACTCCAGGCTACCCTCAGTAATCGTCACACGGAAGAGTGTGAAGAAATGCACCCCAGCCTCCCCAAGTTGGTTTTGGTCAGGTTGTTTTCTCACAGCACAAAAAAGCTAACAAGTCATTCCTCTATTTAAAACTGAAGCTTGGATTGGAAAGAGGTCTTAGCAGGTAGGAGTGCTGGCTGTTCTTCCAGAGGACCTGGGGCTCAGTTCCCAGCACCCATGTGGCAGCTAGCAACTGCCCATTAACTCCAGTTCCAGGGGATCTTATGCCCTCTTCTGGACTCCATGGACATTGTACACAGGGGGGCACTTGCATACATGCAGGCAAAACATTCATACACACCAAATAATTTTTTAAAAAATTAAAAATTCACCGGGCATGGTGGCACATGCCTTTAATCCCAGCACTCAGGAGGCAGAGGCAGGTAGATCTCTGTGCGTTGGAGGCCAGCCTTGTCTACACAGTGAGTTCCAGGCCAGCTGGGGCTACAGGGAGATCCTGTCTCAAAAAAACCAAAAAAAAAAAAAAAAATTAAAAACCGAACCTCATGTTAGTAACCTGAACGTGGTATTTATTCCTTTCCTATTCAATTAACTTTAACTCCCCTTTCTCGGCTTTTCACCATTACTTATCTTTTTTTTTTTTTTTTTTTTTTTTTTCCTTTTTTGTTTTCTTTTTAGAGACTAGCCTGGAACTCACTATGTAGTCCAGGCTGGCCTCAAACTCAAAGAGATCTGCCTGGGTCTGTTCCCCAGTGCTGGGATTAAAGGCATGCACCACCATGCCCAGCTGTTGTTTGGGGGCTTTTTGTTTATTTGTTTTTTTAATTACTGGTCTTATTGATTGGTGGTATTAAATGACCTGTTGGAGATGCAGGACCCTAAGGTTTTGCCCTAAAACTCTGCAAGATCATTAAATAACATAGGATTTCTATATAAAAACTCAAAACAAAACATTCTTCTTTTCATGTTTCATGTTTTTCTCGTTTTGTTTTTGCTATGAATATATAGATCCACTTTAGATAAGTTTAGTTCATACTAAAACAACAGAACAAAAGAAGACATATTAGAACAGCGACCACCTTTAGAAAACAGCAGTGGATTTTATTTACTTATCAGCACACTAAATAAAACCACCATTAATTTCTCTTTTAAAACAACAGTATGCATTTGATTTTTTTAAAGAGGTGTAAAAGTCCAAAGAAAAACGAGTATTCATCTCACATAATTAAACATTTACTGGCCAAGGTGAATGTACTTATGCATGGCCAGTCATTTGCCAAGCCAGTGATTCCGCAACAAAACAGAACAGCCGTTCATAATATCCACACTTAAAATGCGTGTTAAGGACCTGCTATTTTTATCAGTTTATATTCTTTTCACAACACACTGATCATTTGTGACTCATGTTCACAGAATATACTTCTCAACAGCAGGATACTAAGCTCACATGTGTACATAACACACACATTCTCTCCAGAGATCACTGGGATTTTGTTCATCAGATCGTGTGTCTTTTCAGCAGTAATGCTTAGGAATAAAGCGTCTGCACACAAAACATGACCTGTGAAAGGCACGCATCTATGTAACTAAGTACAACCTGTTAAATTTTTTTAGATTTATTTTACTTCATGTGTATGAGCATTTTGCCTGAATGTACTATGTGCACTACTTGTGTGCAGTACTTGCAGAGGCCAGAAGAGGGCACTGGGACTCCTGGAATGGTTGAGTCACTGTGTGGGTGCTGGGAACTGAATCTGGTTCTTCTGCAAGAGCAGTAAGTACTCTTATAACTGCTGAATCCTCTCTAAAGCCCTAATCTGCTAAATTTTTTTAAAAAGACAAAGGAAAAGAGTAGTGAATGCCAATACTAATAGCTCGTTTCATAAAATAGTGATAATGGATACATACTGATACATAAGCACTTACGCATCAAAAGGAGTTACTTATTTATTCATAGTTTATGAATACAAGTGTTTTGCCTGCATGTGTGTAAATACACCACGTGCATGCAATGCCTGTGGAGGCCGGAAGAATGTTGAATCCCCTGGATCTGGAGTTGAGTTACAATGGTTGTTAGCTGCCATGTGGGTGCTGGGAACTGAATCCAGGTCCTCTGCAAGAGCAGCCAGTGCACTTAACCACTGAACCATCTCTCCAGCCCCCAAAGGAGCAGTTCTAAAACATGTATTTAGATTGTGACTTGATATATATGATTCTTACAGAAATAATGCCAAATCAGCCTCTGAGCCACTACCTCTCTTTGTATAGGTCAACAGCTGGGAGGCTAAGGAAGGAGGATCCCTTAAACCCAGGAGTTCAGAGTCAGCCTGGGTAACAGAAAAGGACCTTGTCTCTAAAAAACAAAAAATCCTGTCATGGAGTTCTAATAAAGTCTAGGAGCAAGAGTCCTCTTACCTACCTGAATGCAATTATGTAGACACATGGAATTAACCAGCAAAGAAATATTGTAGTTAGGTACTGTATGGCAGTTCCCTCTCAAACATTCTCTCTGACTGAAACTTTCCATCCAGGATAGAGGAAGAGGCTCTTGAGACTCAGGAGGTAAACAAAAGGTCATATACGTGCCTGAGAGAGGAGAAACTTGGAAGAGTCTCGGGACCCCTCCCCACAGTATAAAAAGGAGCACACAACTGCTGTGGGAGGAGACTCTGACCAGCTGGGCTGCAGAGAGGGAGACTCTCTGGGACTGTCAAGAGCTGCCTGCACGGCCTGCTGAGAGCTCCCAAGTGGCAGCGTCCAGAGATGCAGCCACTTCTGAGTCGTCCCTGCTTCTGTAAGCAACCCCCCATCCATTCTACCGTTAGTGACTCCAATAAAAACTTATTGGTTCACCAAGATGGACACTGGTGTGATTATTACTTTAGTCTGCCATGGATGGGTTCTCCTTTTGGAGTGAAAAATGTATGTGTGTTGTTTCTCCCAGGAAAAGTCTGTCACAAAACAGGAATATATGTATACATATATCCCTGGCTGCTAATCATAAATTCATCTAGAACGATAAAGACCTCTATCTGCACAGTCCTAAAGTTTTTAAGTGGAAACTCAAGTAATTAGTGTCATCTACCTATCTGGGTTTATAATACAGACACACTAAGTCAGGAGTGCTGGCATGTGCCGGTTGTGCCTCCACTTGAGAGGTAAAGGCAGGAAGGTCAAGGGTTCAAAATCAGTGTCAGCTATGTAAGTGAGTTAGAGGCCAGCTTGGGCTACATGACACCCTGTCTCAAAAACCCCCAAATCAAACTAAGCAAACACTAGTAGACACATACATCTGAAGTTATTTTAGTTAATAAATAGGATAACTTATCACAACAGCAATCCCCAAATGAATCTGAACTTGCCTTTATGAATTAAGATTTAGGTTTCGAATCACACTCACCTTTAAGCTCCTATTCCCACCCTCTTCTGCTAGCTAGGCAACTGCAAATGCTGGTACTCACCAATACAAAGTAGTACGCACTGAGTGCTGTGCAATGGTGAATTATAAAAAACTTGTCGCCAATCACGTTCCAATTCAAAATTATAATCAACAAATCTGTAAGAAAGAAAAACGTGAGGAAAAAAAGCTGCTGTTTTAGAAGTGTATCAAGCTCAAGTTCCACTAACTCACCACAGTCTACTCTGAAGCCTCAACACTTTGTTCATTTCTCCCCAGCCCAATTATCTACTCTTTCTTAGAAAGTGCCAGCTCCCGTCTGTCTCCCTGGCTTGCCTGCCCAAATGTGGCTCCTCTAGAACAAGGGCCAAGTCCTCAGAATCTAGCGAGGTCTCAGCATTCAATACCTAACAACTGTTCAAAGCATAACTGAATAACTTGTTTCCAGAGTTAAAATGAAACTATGATCAAACAAAAAATAAGTTTAAATTACTGATTTTTGTTACTACAACAATGCAAACAGATAAGATGGAAAAATACACAAAATTAACAACTCACTTATAACATAGTTTCAACAAACTTTTTTGTTTTGTTTAAAAAAAAAAAATCGAGTCAGGCCTAAAGGAGCCCGGGCTTTCCTGCAGTTTGCTGGGTAGCCAGATTGACCTCGAATTCTTGAACTTCCTGTTTCTACCTCCAAAAGCTGGAATTACGGGCATGCCCTACCTTACCATGCCCTCAAACAAAAAAATAATTTAACAAAAATTACAACTAAATACAAATTCAAAATGAATGGCAAAACCATGAAAAACTATGATTTTTAAAAAGGCGAACAAAGAGAGAGAAGGCGTCAATCTCTCCTTAAGAGTCTTCGTTTACATATCATGATTCAGAAGATAGTTCAGCAAAATAGAAACTGCTCAAAACATTAACACAACTACTGTCTTAAACAAATGGGTGAACCATCAGATGTCCAGAGGGAAACAAATGGTGATCATGGTTAAGTTTTGGGGTATTAGAGATTATAGAATGCAGAGATTTCATTTTTAAAATAAAAGTTACTATAGAACTGGGAAAATGAACAATAGACCTCAATCTTATCCGTAGGAATACTGGCAACTGATTGCTGCTGGATGAAGAACAGCTGATCTTCCTAAAACAAAGGAGGACTCTAGAGAGGCTGACTAGACTTAGTGGACAGACTTGCACTGGGGAACGGCTGGGGACACTGATAGCCCAGTGGGCCTGACAGGGATGACCGAGTATATGGGCTCCAGTGGTGGGGGTGGGGAGGGTAGGAGAGTGCCAGTGGGGGCAGGGGTATAAAGATGATTGAGAATTTTCGAGCTGTTCTGTATGAAATACACAAAAAAATGAATTAAAAATTATTAAAAATAAATAAAAGTTACTAATATAGAACTAGATAGAATATTTTGAGAGAGGATCCAAATTTTAAAGAGAAGACAAATACAGTAACTATGAAAATAAAAAAGGGCCAAGCATGGTGGCACATGACTTTAATCCCAGCACTTGGAAGGCAGAGGCAGGTGGAGCTCTGTGAGATTGAGGCCAGCCTGGTCTATAAAGTGAGTTCCAGGCCAGCTTGGGCTACAGGTAGACAGTCTCAAAAAGACCAAAAAATAATAACAACAATAATAATATTATTAGAGTATCAGTAATTAACTGCCTGATTAATTAACTCCCTTCTTGAAATACACTCATTTTCCCTACATATTTTGGTTCTATACTCTGGTCACAAATTTATAGCCATAATTTTGTAGCATGATCTAGAAGAAGAAGAAGAAGAAGAACTCACTTTGGGCATTGACCTTTTCATGGATTGATATCTTTTTTAGGAGGATCTTGATCAATTCTATTTCATACAAGAGTTCCTAAAGTGGCAGCTCAGTTGGTAGAGTGCTTGCCTAGCAGGCTCAAAGCCCCAGCGCCACATAAATCAAGCACGGTGGCACATGCCTATAATCTAGGAGCTGGAAGGCGAAGGCAGGAAGACCAAGGTCATCCTCAGCAACAGAGCAAGTTTGAGGCCAGCCTGGGTTATGTAGGACCCTGTCTCAAAAACAAAAACAAACAAGATTCCCTGAGGAGTGACTACTCTCTGAAATGACAGCTTTCATTAACCACCAAGTGTGGCATACTATGAATTTTTTGTGACACCTTCTAGGGTCAAATGAACAAATCTTTTCCCAATAGTTCATGATTTCCTTTTGTGAACTGGGCTATCTCCCTGTAGCCTCAGCTGGCCAGGAACTTACTGTGTAGACCAGACTAACCTCAGTCTCACAGAGATCCTGCCCCTGCCTCCCAAGTGTTGGGACTAAAGGTGTATACCACTATGCCCAGCCAGAACTACTTGTTCTGATACAATTTTTTTTTTTTTTGTCTTTA